CAACAACTTAAATTATTACACACTAGCGCGGAATTAAATATCAACATATATAGCCTATGTGTTCTTCCAGACTATGTTCTATATGTATGCCAAATTTCATCAAAATCCACTAAACCGTTCCGGAGATATCTTCAAACAATCATCTTAACATTCGCGTATATAATAATAATAAGATTAACAATCAGTCGTCCGTCTGTAGGTAGCCTTATACTTTGAAATGTGTTGCATCTCGATAACGACTCTAATGATGGCCACAGATGATAAATCACCGGAGCATCAAACAATATTCAGGAATAGAGTTTGCCAGGCGTCCGGATAAAGCCGGACATCGGTAGGCTTTCATTGCGTGTCCGGCTAACGGTGTCCGGGTTGTCCGGTTTTTGTTGAGCTTTTTATATTTGGTATCTAAGACTACTGAGACAAAATCTTCAATAACGTAAGGTGTCCGGCCAAACTGGTTGGTCTGTCCGGCTATTAGGTTTGGTGTCCTGGCAACCCTATTCAGGAATAATTAATCGGGTGAAGAAAACTAATTGATATAAAGAATTAATACTATAAGAGATGTGTAAAACACACAGACGATTTGACGTCCATTTTTGGAAATTAGTTTAAAAAAAAGTAATGGACATAAAAGTTAGTAACCAACATTTTGAGGAATATCTTCATAAAGCTTATAGGAGCATTTTGCGGTAAGAAATCTTACTAATGTTATAAATGCGAATGTTTAGATGGATGTTTGTTGGAAGATATCTCCAGAATTACTTAAAGGATCTCGCTGAAATTTGGAATACATATAGAACATAATCTAGAAGAACACATAGACTACTAATATTTTTTTAATTTCGAGCAGGACTCGCCGGCGACTGCAAGTTACAATAAAGAAACTGTTAACGCCATCTATTGACATTAAAATTAAATCGTTTAAAAGTACATTTGAAAACGAAAGGATCCGTTTTAAACAAAGCCTAAAAATCCTTTCGTAACATCACAATGCACTTTGTTAATTTAGATTTGATGTACAGTCGACCACAATCAGCCAACGGACTTGTGGGTACAAAGACAGATTAACTCCAGTGCGAAAGTGCTTTGGAAGCCAATTCCAGCTTTCAATGCTATTTAAAAGCAAACGTTTAACTTTATAAAATACAGTTTTAAAGTGTAAATACCAAAATGTTGGGGTAGGAGATATGGTAAATACCCTCGTTACGTCTCTTCCTTCGTCCGCACTATAAATAGATAGGTCACTGCTTAGAAATTATAATTTGTGCATCTTTTTAAGTCATAACGGTTGCCCATAGACATACGCAATTGCAGTGCTGCCTACCTTTAATCGACGGAGGAGGATGCATTGTAAGATAATATTTTCCCTATCCATGCATCCTCCGAAAAATCCACTTTCCATCTTTTACTTATAAGAAAAAGGGCTGGCCAATCGCAACCGTCAGCGCCAAAATGACCACGATCAAAAAGGCACAAAATAAAAAGACTTATAGCCTGTCCATATTAAGAGGATATCTCTGCCCGACAGAATGGATAAGTTACGTGATTGTCGCGACACAGTTAGGTAAATACATTTTTGAAGTTCGCTATGGAATCGCTTCGCATCGAACACATTTTGTCTGTTTGACCTCAATCTACACCACCTGGACGGTGCGATTCTCGCGCAATTTCTTGTCTCGCACAGCCGCGTTGTTTAACGGTCTGTCCTCGCCGGTATTTCCAAATTAATACGACTTAGGGTCCTTCAAGAAGCGAGGATACCATTGCCTTAAAGACATCTGCAGTGCAGTGTTGCAGATGTCCATGGGTGTCGTTGATCAACTCGTTGTTCCCGCGAAGTTTGCCCCCTACTCTTATATAAAAAAAAAAAACATTTTGTCTAAATCCGCTGGATCTATTTACTTTTAGTTATTCTTCCCTATTTTATAAACTATTCTCCCTTAAACTACAGTACATTAAACAATTTGTACGAACACTTTGGGGATTTGTTAGTGTTTTTAAATCGAATGTACTGTCAAAGTGAAAAGTGTTATTGATGTATTTGCATTTTAAATACAATGTACTCTCAAGTGAATAAGTGGATTGGATACATTAATATATTTGTTTTGTTTTAATTTGTACGTAATGACAGAAAGATAAATGTGTATACATTTATCTTTCTTTCTTTCTTTCTTAATTATTTTATATCTTATCTTAATTCTTACTAATCTTATATATAAAATTCTCGTGTCACAATTTTCGTCCACATACTCCTCCGAAACAACTTGACCGATTCTCATGAAATTTTGTGAGCATATTGAGTAGCTCTGAGAATCGGACAACATCTACTTTTAATCCCGCGCGGACAGAGTCGCGAGCGACAGCTAGTATTATATAAATGCGAAAGTTTAGATGGATGGATGTTTGTTTGAAATTATCTCAAGGACGACTGAATGGATCTCGCTAAAATTTGGCATACATATAGAACATAGTCTGGAAGAACACATAGGCTATTAATAATATTTTTATTTAATTCCGCGCGAAAGGACCCGCGGACAGGCAGCTAGTGTAAAAAACTTGGATTATTTTACTAACGATTGATGGATTGAAGACAGCTAGTCTCAAACAGTTTTTAAATCAAATCATCATCAGCTCACTATTCGTCCCCACTGAGGGTCTCGGTGCCTACCCTAAGTTAGGTTACTAGGCCATAGTCAATGCTTGCCCAATGCTGGTTAACTTCATACCTTCATCCTAATATCAGATAAATGTACATATATAAATTGCAAAACAAATAGGTATAGGGCAGGATTCGAATCCAAGACCTGTAGATTGCAAGTCAACTCAAGTCACCCACACTCTCTTATATCTTATATAATCAAATATACATATGTAACACTTTTGTGTATGACTGTACTTATCCAAACAACTTGTCGACAACTGCGACCAATTCGCGTCTGTTTAACGAGCCGTGATTGAGTCTTAGTGACTTGTGGTCGTGGTGAGGGGTTAAGGTAAAATTACTAACATGTAGTTGATGGTACGCGCGTGCGTGCATTAATGTCTCAACTATTAGAATAAATTAGCTATTTTTATATCTATTTATACGTTGTGTTAAATATAGCTTTTAATATCTTAATATATTGTACTTTATCTTACTAATGTTATAAATGCGACTGTTTAGATGGATTTTTGTTAGAAGGTATCTTTAGAACATCATCATCATCATCAGCTCACTATACGTCCCCACCGAGGGGCTTAAAAAAAACCTGTGTATTCTTCTAGAATATGTTCTACATCTGTGCTAAATTTCATAGATATTTGTTGAGTCGTTTTGGAGATATCCTCTAACAAACATTCGCATTTATAATATTAGTTTAATTCCATGCGAACGGAGTCGAGGGCGACAGCTAGTCGTTAAATAAAGTCCATTACAAACAATACAAATTGGATTAGAGGTCAGTAGGGATAGTAAAATATCTATTAGTTTGTGCCCCGAGAATACTGTGGGGTTAGCGAGGGGAAGTTTGGATGATATTATGCAAGAAGTGATAAAGTTACTATGAAAATTAATTGTATTAAACTAGAATTTTTTACTTTTTAATCTTACTTCTTACTAATATTATAAATGCGAATGTTCAGATGGATAGATAGAGTTTGAAGGTATCTCCAGAACGGCTGAACGGGTCTCGTTAAAATTTGGCATACATGTAAAACATAGTCTGGAAGAACACATAGGAAAAAATTCTCTTCAATTTCGCGTGAACGGAGTCCCTGGCGACAGCTGGTATCTTAATAAAAGCAATGTAGTCATTTCTCAAGATCATTACATCATCAGTCTGTTTTCCTGAAGGAAATGTACATATGTAATCGAAAAACATAAGTACATGGCGAGATTCGAACCCAGGACCTGCAGACAAGTGCTTAAACCCAGAACCACTGATGCTCTTACGAATTTAGAGCTTGACTTCTTGCATAACAACGACCAATGTTAACTAAATCAAAAGTACCATCATGGGGTGCATGATACCGATATGTTTATTGCTTGACGCATTGACACCCAATTGAATGTGTCATTCTGACAGTTGGGGAGAGAATGGCGGGAAACGCTGTCAAATTTGACATTTTAATGTCGCGTTTTATTAAATAGAAACTAATCAGTTTAATGTTATATAGATTAGTTAAATATATTAGCGGTTGTCGCAAGTCCGACAACGAGAGTACAAAAAACAAAATAAGTAGACTGTGTGTTCTTCCAGACTATGTTCTATATGTATGTCAAATTTCAGCTAGATCGGTTCAGCCGTTACCTTCCAAACAAGCATCTAAATATTCGCCTTTATAATACTACTAAGAAAGTACAATTTTTTAAAGCGAGGTACTAAATAGTACGTTTTTAATCCAGTTTTTTGGTACTAGGTACAATAATAATAATATACGTTAGGGTATATCCGCCATCTTGACTCTCACGTTACTTGATATGTTTAAAATAAATATCAAGACCTCGGTTGTAGTGATAAAATTTACGTAATTAATACGGCGCCCTTTCACGCGAAGAAAGTTGTAAAAACATGTAACAGACTGACCAAATTTTACCATTTTACATAGGTTTTTACCAAATATTGAATACTATAAAGTAATTTATGATTTATTTAAAAAACATTTTGTTTTTAAAATTCAATATCAAATACCCACGAAAACATGATAAACTGTCATGGCGTCTTCTGTGACGTCACGCCGTGTTGCAGAATAAAATAGCGTCTCTGTATATTTGTTGTTGTACTCAATATGGAATTGTTGTACTGAATTCTAAACTATGAAATAACTATGACAATGGCGCCATTCAACGCGTGACGTCACATTCTGATTGGCATTTCGTTTCACTTGAACGTAAAATTAAGACGATTTTTATTTCTAAACATATTTTTAATCCTAATAACTAGATGAAAGTACACAGGCATTTTTAAAACTGGTATGTAAATAATTTCTTTTTTTTAAATAGCTTTTTTCTATTGTTACAGACGAGGAATAAAACTACGTCAGCTGACCGACGGCGGCCATCTTGTTCAAGTAATTTATTCACCAGATGGCATTATACAAGATTGTGAATATCTTTCCGATATCAAAACAACTAGAAACTTTTTAAAAACATTAAGAAAAGAATTAAAACTGGCATTAGAAGAGCAAACTTATAAAATTTTAGAGAAAAATGACAATGAAGACGAAAAATTTTACCGCCATTTTGGTAATGTCACTTTGAGGTTATTAAAAGGTAATGAAAAATTACCTACAGATATTGCGAATTGGTTGGATTACGACAGATTGAAAATGGAATGTTTGGAAAGACATGAAGAGTTAACATTTTTGATGTCAAATAGAAATAAAATTGGAGAGGAAGTATTAACAAGGTAAATAATAATATTTAATATAAAAATAAGTTATACGCTTTTTTATTAATTTTAAAATTTCAAGCAAACGTCAAAAATCTTACTGAACTGTGTTGCCATAAAACAAAATATTTTTTAAAATTTAAATTAGTAGTTTTAAAATTAATTTTTATTTTTGTTATCGATATAATTTTGTTATTAAAGCGTATAACTTTATAAACATTGTATAATACGATAAAGTTATCTGGCCACTTGGGTATAAGATTTCCTAAACACCTGAATACATTTTCCAACAGAACTAATAATCCTACTCTTACCGGGCCAAATAAGCTTATCACACTTTATGTTAAATAAATGAATGCACCCTTTTATTATCTATGGTTCATTTTATCTCACAGGTTACTTAACTCTTCACAATATCTTTACGACAATGCAAGGACTTCTTTTTCCATCGACATTTATTTCTCTTTATCAGTCATTTTGTGACTAACCAGCAATATTGGGTTTATAAAGATTTTATTATATCTAATTTATTGTAAAAATATTATCTTCTTGGTTTAACTCATGATACACTCGAAACTGGATAAGCGAGAGTCTAAGGGATGGTGATATTTGACTAGCTTATAGAGGATAACAGTGGTAGAGCCCGCTTTAACATCTTCGCACGAATTGTCCCGGCTCGCCCGGTGAAATAGCACGACCACACAGAAGACAGGCGTCAAGTGGAAGCAATTCCGCGTTTCATCTGATGAGCGTGCGTCCCGGAGGCCTTATATAGTCCTCTTTCCCTTCCCACCCTCTTTCTTATAGAAGTGAAAGTGGACTTTCCGGATGAGAGGATGCATGGGAAGGAAAAATATTTTCTCTCTGTGCATCCTCTCCTCCGTCGATTAAAGGTAGGCAACGCATATGCAATTGCGTATGTCTATGGGCAACGGTCACTTCGCTATTTCAGCGATTTCAAGTGACCGCTCGCTCGTTTGCCACCTACTGATATAAAAAAAGGGTCCTTTCTAAAACAAGTGTCTCGCTTATAAAGGGCGTCCGTCCAGGACTGGACAATGACTCGCTTATAGAGATTTCTCGCTTAACCCGGTTCGACTGTATTTATTTACAAATGAAAAAGTCAGTCAATATCACGACGTAAAAACTATTTAGAAGATATTATTTAAATGTGTATTTATAAATAGAACGAAGACGTCCGAGACTTCTTCCGCCGGAAATTAAAAAAAACTTAGTAATCTATATTCTTCCAGACTATGTTCTACATCTATGCCAAATATCAAGATCCATTAAACCGTTCTAGAGATATCTTCTAACAAACATCCATACATCTAAACTTTCGCATTTATAATATTAGTAAGGTTTCGCAAATAAAAAAGGAACCCTATTTTATTACTTTCAAGTGACAGTACTATAAGATTTTAAACGTACCATACCATATAGATTATGATCTAGTAATTAAAAACGTAAAAAAAATAGTATAGTAAATAATACTACGTACTAGCTACGCTAACCTTCAATCAAATGTCTCTATCTTGGTACATTTTACCGTTCATCAAATATTACCTATTTGTGCGCATGTCAAAGTTCTATCTACGAAATAAACTTTGGTACTACTAATAGTTATAATGAATGTATTTAAACCTACCAATAACACGAGATTTTTCTATAATAGCAACACTGACATTCTCAGAACTCCGTAAACCGGGTACAATAATTTCATAACCTCTAACATCCATTGCATGCAATTTGAAATCCTACCAAAACTAACTAAAATCTAACTCTAGGTCTAGAAGATCGTTCAGGGAGAATTTTATAATGCCCGGAACGAAATGGTGCGGAGCTGGTCAGTTAGCGAAAAGGTACAACGAACTAGGCGACGATAGTAACGAAGACATGTGCTGTAGGGCCCACGACAATTGCAGGGCCAACATCGGCGCCTTCAGAAAGCGCTTCGCCTACTTTAACTATAGGCCGTATACTATCTCGCATTGCCGTTGCGATAGGAGGTTTGTTTTTTTTTGTTTTTTTGGTTGGGAAAATCTACCGATTTTGGTAGTTTTTTTTGGGTTGGGTTTTGGTGGTGGTGGCTTTGGATGGGTTCGGATTGTTTTTGTGTTTGATTTTTACGGTAAAAGGATTAAAAAATTTCTTGTCACTTAAAGTTTTTAAAGTGAAATTACAATAAAACCTCTTTATTGAATTAACAAGAATAGATATTTGGAATAATTCGGTTCTTTTATAAACTTTATTTGTTAATTAATATCAAAATTTACATGTCAAAAACTGGCTGTTAAAGTTTACTTTTGTTTTTTTTTATTTACTTTTTATGTCGTCTAGATCTGAACTCGTCCAAGGCGATATTATTTTAACTAGCAACCCCACATTCCTAAAACTTTTAACGATCAACGGCTTTTCCCATTTATTACGGGATTGAGGAAAATTACATAATTATTTTTGGTTTTAGTAACATATTATTTAATTTTGGGTTTTTCTAAATTTAAATAAATTAATTGCTTCCTTATAATTCATTGTATATAATGACATAAATAATATTTATTTCTTTCTCTTTTACTAAGAGAATGAGTGGGATGGCAACACATTCCAAGTGTACAGACAACGTAAAGTAACAAAAACATAAAGCCATCAAGGATCCATTAAATAAATCTACATTTATTTAACCTTAGGTTCTTGGTAAAGATGGTCATAAGTGATAATCTGGTCCCCTTTATTGTGATACTAAATCATAAACTTTTAATGTCCAATCAACGTCACAAACTAAAAATATTCCCACGAACTATCTTTAAAATTGTCAGACATATATTTGTCTCTGTTTTTTCAAAGAGAATTTAAGGGACGACATGTGTCACTATGGTCGTATTAAAACCAACAATATCTGACCCGGTGAGCATAAGTTACATTATAATAGCTACCCCTACTGGGTCAGCATTGACTATAGCTTAGTCTTAACTTAGGGTTGGCTCCTTTCCCTTCAGTGGGGACCTATAGTGAGCTGATGATAAGCTTACTGCCGCTCTCTGTCAACTTCAAATAAGTGTCATAACTTTTCGTACTACAGCTGTCATGTCATGTTCTGTCACAGAAATGGATAGGAAAGTAATGCCTCTCTCACCGGCTTAGATATACCAATTTGATTATGTAGTCACTAGCTGTCGCTCGTAACTCCATTCGCGCTGGAAAAAAAAGTTAATTAGTAGCCTATGTTCTTCCAGACTATGTTCTACGTTTACGCCTATTTCATCGTGATCCGTTGCACCTTTCTGCAGATACCTTCTAACAATCCATCCATCCAAACATTCACATTTATAATATTAGTAACATACAATGCGTACGTATACATGCCTTCGTTCGCGGTACCGGCTGTCTCTTCTAGCAGTAATTTTAACATATTAAATATATTACTGTACTTGTGAGAATCGTTAAAATATTATTATAACATAAATTTAACATCAGCTTGATCCCTTTTATTAAACAAATATCTCTACTTTCACATCGACCACGATATAAAGATATCAGATCTCCGTAGTCGGTAATTAGCGGTACCATAGACAACTTTTATTTATTTTCCTTCCCTAAGTGCGCAATAAAGTAATAAAATCCTGTGATCTATGGTGCATACGTTGACGCGTCGACTTTATAGCTCAATCTGATTCTATGACCAATAACGATTATTATTTACTACCATAAAATGTCGGTGGTCTTAGTACTGGCAACATTTACAAAAGAAGTCATTGCATTGTCGTTCGAAAAAAAAATGTTTTAAAAAATACTGGCCGCAATAAAAAAATAAACTTCGACAGAAAAAAGCGCGACGCTATGGAGTTACTACGCGTGCCCGGTACAAAATGGTGCGGTAAAGGATTCTCAGCGACACATTATTCCCAACTTGGAGGTTATACACGTACTGACAGATGCTGCCGAGTACACGATTTAAGGTGTCCATTTTGGATTGGCGGTATGGAGAAGAAATATGGACTTTACAACTGGCGAGTGAATACATTAATGCATTGTCGATGCGATGAAAGGTTCGTATAGAAAAACTGCAACTAACATAAGCATGATTATTGCTTTAAAGCACTTTAGCCCACAATCTGTCCAGACCATTAAACTATTTCAAGTTACGACAAGTTGTTAGTTATCGTTAGAGTTGAATTTGTAGTAACGATTCAAGTATTGTTAGTACATTTTTCGTTTTCACAACTTGCAACATTTGATTTTCGATTGTCTATTGTTGTTTTAGATAGAAGCACCGTAAAAAAAAATATTCCAATTTTAAATTTTATATTTTTAATTCGAACTTTATTTTTTTATTGCCTGCCAGTATTTTTTATTTTATCTTTATTGCTTATTACGTGTTGCTTTTGTTGTTGTGAATGTATTAAGGGTTAAACATTTTTTATAAATATTAATAGCAATAATTTAAATCGTTTTTTTCTGCTATAATTATATGTTAGGCGCTTGATCACAGCAGTACTATTTTTAGAAGACAGAGTCGGTTTTAATTGTGAAATCAAATTATTCTATTAAAATGTATTATAAGCTATCATACAATCTGACACGACTTTGTGTACTCTCTAGAGACATTATAAAGGTAGTGCCAGTCACAAAGAGGTGTGCCAGGATAATTTATGAGCACCAATTAGTTCGAACTGATATCTATCGGATTTTTTATAATTGTCCCCTTTAGAACAATGAAAGGTGTGGAGCCGATAGCTATAACAAATATTTTAAAATATATTAACTGTCACGTAAAACTTAAAAAGAAGTAATTTCTTTAGTTCTGTTTAATAATTTATTAAATTTTTATGGTGGTAAATAAATAAATTCATTACAGTATTAATAAACACCAAATCGCTTTATTTGAGTTCTTATATTAAATATTTATGTCGCGCGTTTTACAATTTTCTTGTGTAATATTACAATTCTGTACATTCACTTTATATTATAGATTTATCACACTAATATTTCTTCTTTTATCAAACCCAAATAAGCATTATTTTAACGTAAATTGTGTAACATATAACTTAAAAAAAATATTAATATAAAAAAAGATTACATCTAAGCCACTCCATAACTAACTATGTTCTAATACATATCTTTTTCCGACGACAGGGTTGTACTTTTTTTTACATTTATTTTCATTTATACTTATAAATTTATTTTTATTAGTTTTTTTTTTCAACATACACTGAGGTCTCAATTAACTTGGTATGGTGATTACAAGAACATTTGGGGTCCTTAAAAGATATATTGTACTGAATCGTGCCACTAATCTATTGTAGATTGTATACGTACGTAAGTCGGATTTGTAATTGTTTATCTCCACTAGCTTCGCCCGCGACTTCGTCCGCGTGAAATACCGTCTTTGGGTATCATTTTAATTATATAGGCTACTTATTTTACTAAAACTCTCTTGTCTCAAGGTGCCTCCATTTAATGGAGGTTGGCAGTCAGCTCAGTGAACTTTCGCCGATCTTGTACCAAGCGAAATAAATGTTCCACGCTGGTAACATTCGTTCATTCCTTGATATTTCGCAACCACGATTTCTATATAACAACAAAACATATTGAACTCACAAAACAGTTACACAAACTTATTTTTTATAAATCCTGAATGTCATATTTATATCAAATTAACTGCCTACAAAATTTCAAGCTTCCAACTGTAAAAGTGACGACATCCATACAAATTACCGACCCCTTACAACCCTTTTTTCTCGTTAAAAGTAGTCTATCTCCTTCCCCAGGTTTTAGACTATCTGTGTTTTGCGTGAAATAAGAACAAACAGAGTTACTTTCGCATTTATTATATAATATTAGTAAAGAAGTAAAGATTATTAGAACATCGGTGGCTCTGATATTTCGGTTCGAATCCCACTATGTAATATGTTTTTACATACATATGTACATTTATCCGACGTTACGGTGAAGGAAAACATCGTGATGCACATATCTGATAGGAAATTCAAAGATATGTGAAAACACTGGGTCAGCATTGACTATGACCTAGTTAACTTAGGATAGGCTCCGAGCTTAGTGAGGATGTACAGTGACCTGATGATGAATCTCTTTAAATGCATCATAACTTTGGTTAGAACTGTTCCAAAGGTTCGTCTTACTAATATTATAAATGCGAATGTTTAGATGTTTGTTAATAAAATATCTCCAGAACGGTTGTATAGATAGCGATGAAATTTGGCATCAACACAGATCATAGTCTGGAAGAACATAGACATATGTCAATTCCGGGCGAACAGAGTCACGGGCGAGAGTTAGTATAAAACTAATCGAATTTAAATAACCCATTAACACAAAAAAGGGATCAACGCGTAGATTTTAAATAAATGATACTGGTATATTTAAAAAAAAATCAAGTTGTAGAGTATCGTTCGAACCCATCTTTGATTTTTATCTGTGGTTTGAAGATGCTAAGAATCTTTATAGCTGGTAAAAAAATCAGGCATTCGTATAGTGTTGAAACATCTAGTTAATTTTACTAATATTATAAATGCGAATGTTTAGATGGATGTTTGGAGGTCCCCACAAGGGCTGAACGAATCTCGATAAAATTTGGCGTAGATATTGAACGTAGTCTGGAAGAACACATAGGCTACTAATTAGGTTTTTTTTTAGACGAAGTCGCGGGCGACAGCTACTTACATGGCTTTTATAGATAACAAAATCACATTATTTTTAGTTTATATATTTCGTAATATTGAAACAAGTATTTAATTATATAAACAAAAAAGTAATGAGATTGAATGTGGATGGCTACAAGGGTAGAGGAAGACCAAAAAAAGTATGGAATGACTGTGTGAAAGAGGATATGCGTAAGAAGGGGGTAGACTCGGATATGACGGCTGATAGAGATGTATGGAGGAGTAGTACATGCTGTGCCGACCCTCGATAGGGATAAGGGTAGGTTGATGATGATTGAAACAAGTATTTAGAAAAATAACGTTTTTAAGCGCTAATAAATTTATAACCTCAAAATAAATTTAACAAAAATTATAACGTAATATTTATATGTTACTAATATTACTAATGAGAAAGCTTAGATGATCCTTTAGAAATTTGTCATACATATAGAACATAGTCTGGAAGAACATATAGACTATTAATTAAGTTTACTTCAGCTACTTATGTATATCATAAAATAATCTTATACAGTACCGTCCAAAACGACAGATAAATCCACCCTAACAAAATTCATCGCTTAACAAAAGAAAAGAACCTTTCCGTTCCGATTAACAAAGGTAATAGATATCATATGACAAAGAAAACATCCCCTACACCTTACCACCCTTATTTGACGTTAATAATTTATGTATTGTCAGAAAACGTAGTTAACCTCAAAAAATCACGTTACTCACACATTATAAATCCTACGAAGCGTGCTGATAAGTGTAAAGAGAAGATGGCGGACGCTTCCCGCCTATTGACAGTTCGACAGCTGTTATGGCGCGGTTTTTATTTTTTTAATTTTAAATGATTATAAAAATATATGTAAAAAGTTGAATTATAAATCGCATGAAAGCAATTGTGACGTAAATATTAAAAAAAATAATTATTAAAATTATTTTTCGAAATTTTTTTTATTTCGTACTAGCTGCCAGCAACTCCGTCCGCGCGGAATTAAAAATAAACATAATTAGTAGCGTATATGTGTTCTTACTTATTACTAATATTATAAATGCAAATGTATAGATGGATGGATGGATATCTATAGAAAGGTTGAATGGATCTTAATGAAATTTGGCATAAATATACAACATAGTCTGGAAGAACACATAGCTAATTCAGTTTCTTTTTAATTCCGTGCAAACGGAGTCGCGGTCAACAGATACTTTTTGAATTTGGAACTTTTATGTCGCACACGTTTTTATTCAAGGTTATCAAGAATATTTTTGTAAAATTCCTCGTTTAAAAACCGAAGTGCAGTTAATAAAATCCTTGAAGACATACAAGTCGAGTACACCTGTTTACTCTGTGCTTTCCGCGTCATTACGCGCCCATTCAGCCGCGCGCGATTTTCGTATTTCGAACGTCTTTCAAGATGGCGGCGGAGCTGTCGAATTGAAGCTTGTTTTTTTTTAAAGGAATTTGATAAGAGAAATGTTCTCTTTTATACTTGAGTGGAAAAATGAAACATTAAAAAAAAGTGTATCTAAATTTACAACTGTAGATAATTCAACGGTATAATATCTTTTAAATAAAAAAAAAATAAAGATGTCAATGGCTTTGCAACAATGTCACTAAGAAACTAAGAAGCATCATTAAACAATGTTGCCAGCTACAAATTACATCGTAAAACATAATATAAATAATTATTTTCACAAAGAAAATATCTGAAAAGTTAATCGAAATCAAACAAAGAACCAACTAACCGTCCAACAATTATTTTTCTTTCCTTCAAAGAACGATAAAGGCATACGGGCTGAAACAAAACTACAAACTCCTTGGAACAAAACTCCTTGCTGACCGGAGCGTTTGGCTAACGAGTGAAAAAAAAAAACAAAAGTCGTTCTGCCATTTTTGTATTTTCACTAATTCTTTTTCGGTGGTAATCCCAGCTTTTGTTCTGAGGGCCCGCATCGAGTCGATGTTTGCCACTTGCTACTGTAACTAAGCCACTTATGGTTACACGGCCGATAGAATAGTGATGTTACATAATTATATCGATATCGATATTAATTTATTGGTATTCTTTTGTCCACAATTTATTACTGTACTTGAAACTAATAAAAGAACTAGCTTTCACTTAAAATGTAGTCCGCGCGAAATTAATAAAAAAACTGAATTAGTAGCCTATGTGTCCTTCCAGGCATCTATCGCATCTCCCAGCATTCTACATGTTATTTCATCAAGATGGGTTAAACCGTTCTGGAGATACATTCTAACAAACATCCATCCATATAAACATACGCATTTATAATATTAGTAAGGTAACGATTGAGACGTTTTTTTAATGTAATATTATAAATAAGAATGTTTAAATGGATGGATGGATGTTTGTTGGAAGGTATTTCCAGAACAGTTCAACGGAACTTTATGAAATTTGGTACAGATGTAGAACACAGAGTGGAAGAACGCATAGGTTACTTAATTCATTTAATGTTTTTTAATTCCTCGCGGATAGTGTCGCGGGCGACAACTAGTAGTTGTTAAATTTCAAATCATCTGATATTTTATAAATATTTTTTTCCAAATCTATCGATATACGTTTTGTACATCACTAAAGAAGCTTGACCAGAACTTTGCCAAATGAAGCGAAAGAGCGGGCGAAAATCCCGTCTCGGAATCACAGAGTAATGCTAACGTAGAAGTTACATTATCCAATAACTATTTTTTTTCAAAAAGCGGTCCATTTTAAAATTATAAAATACTGTTTTTTTAATATTTAGTAATGATGAAAGAGTTTTTAGTAAAAAATTTAATAAAAAAGACTTTTGATTACATACATTCAAATCGGAACAGAAACTCCTAAGAGAATGCAATGTTACAACCATATGTCCATACTAAAATTCTCAAAAACAATCCTATATATAAAATTCTCGTGTCACAATTTTCGTTCCCATACTCCTCCGAAACGGCTTGACCGATTCTTATGAAATTTTGTGAGCATATTGAGTAGCTCTGAGAATCGGACAACATCTATTTTTCATCCCACTAAATGTTAATGGTAGTCCACCCTTAAATTTTTTATTTTTTAGACAAATACTCGGACGGAGTCGCGGGCGACAGCTAGTATAGTTATAAACATTTAAAATTCTCATACTACTATTGACAAGTTTAAAGTAAGAAAAAAACATCTTACGATTTCGTTCACAATCCACTCTATTCGTCGATTACTCTATGACAACATACGTCAAAGAGTATAAACCGCTATAAGGCGTCTCGTTAAGTGCTAGAGGCTTTGTCAGCCGTCGGTAATCCGCAAGCCTCTCCCAAAAGCTGGGAATTGACGTTCGAAATTCGAAAAAGTCAAGAAAAGAGAAATAGGTTCATTATTTTGTACTAATTCCGATATTGGTATAGACCAGTGGTTCCCAAACTTATTTTGTCTACTGCCCACTTTGAGAATAAATATTTTTTAACGCCTTCATATTTTCACATATTTAAAAACCGCTATAACTTCAAATTAAATTAATTAATTATTGTGACATATATATGTATATTAACGGAGAATTGTAAAGGAAACTTTTACTATAACCCGCAACTTGAGACCTGCAACACCCATATTATCGCCCGCTTTGGGAAAGACTGGTATAGACCAACAAAGATAACTAACAAAACCTATGTGTACTTCCAGACTATGTTCTACGTCTATGCCAAATTTCATTAAGATTCGTTTAGCCGTTAGAAATATCTTCTAACAGACATCCATTTAAACTTTCGCATTTATAATAGTCAAATTAATATTACGTTTTTAAGTATGTTTAGATGGATGGATAGGTATCTCCAGGACGTGTGAACAGATCTCGATGAAATTTGGCATACACATAGAACATAGTCTGGTAGAACACATAGGCTACTTTTTTTAATTCCGCGCAGACAGAGTCGCGGGGGATAACTAGTCAATAATATAATAGTGTGCATATAATAGCGTTGTATATCAGATGATGCAACGTAAGCGCCCTCTATTTTCATCGCTGCGTTTGACAGCGCGCCATTGAAGTTATGGAGTCTGCATTTATTGCCAGCCATTGCTATTTTACGTTCAGAATAAAGTATTATTTTGTTATCTGTGAAAATTATATATATTACTAATATTATAAATGCGAATGTTTAGATGGATGGATGTTTGTTAGAGGTTATCAGTACGGCTGCATAGCTCTCTATGAAATTTGACATAGAACACAATCTGGAAGAATACATAGGCTACTACTACTCAGCCATGAGACGCCCACTGCTGGGTATAGGCCTCCCCCAAAGATCGCCACGATGATCGATCTTGTGCCACCCGCATCCAGGACGTAGGCTATTAACCCTTAATTCGACGAAAATTTTCGTATCAAAATAAACTGTTTGTTTAAAGTCATACTTACGTAATTTTCTCTAAACTAGTTCAGTAGATTTTTTTTTATTAGTTGTTCGTCACACTGGACACCATCGAATTAAGGGTTAATTAAGTTTTTTTAGTACCGCGCGGACGGAGTCGCGGGTGACACCGAGTATCCCATATTCATTTTATTAATATTATAAATGCGAATGTTTAGATAGATGGATGTTTGTTTGAAGGTATTTCAAGAACGGATTCATGTATCTGGCTAAATTTTGGCACAGTTAGAACATAGTCTGGAAGAACACATAGACAATTTAGTTTTTTTTTTAGGTACCACGCGGACGGTATCGCGGGCAACTGCTAGTATCTCATATTAATCATCTATATATTAAAATTTTGAATTGATTACGATCAAACAAACACACATAATAAAAATCACTTGAGAGGGCAATTTTCCCGCCAATTTATGATCTAAACGTCATAAAATGGCGGGAAATGATGACAGCCGGCGCCGGCAGTAAAAATGGACATTTAAAGGACAAAATTGAAGATTTCTTTGTCTGTTAGTTTTATGTATAAGATATAACCACAAAAATGTAAAGACGACAAGTGCAATAATGTAATTTTAGTAGAGGTAAGTGTGGATGGATGGATGTTTGAGTAAAGATATCTCCGGAACGGCTGTATGGATCTAGCTGTAATTTGGCATCGATGTAGAACATAGTCTGGAAGAACACATAGGCTACTAACATTTTTTATCCCGCGCCGACGGACAGCTAATTTAAAAATAAATTGGTATAGAAAACAGATTAAAAATTAAATATTGCTATTAGTCCTTCAAAAAATTACATTGTTTCATACAATCATCAGTTTTCTTTAAAATGTAAAAAAAAGTCTGAAAAAATACTATATTTATACCTTTTTCGGATTTTTTCAAAATAGTTTTGGCATTTTTAATTTTTTTACTGGCAACCCTAAAAACTCGCATCGGCTTTTCAAGAAGTAACGCGAAGAGATGAGACAGATTATATTAATACTTATTGGTTATAATTTGACTTTTATCGTATCATTTTATTAAAGCTTTAAAATAATGATAGCCTTTTTAGATGGATTGCATGTTTTTTTTATTATCTTTTTTATTGTGCTTTTTATTGGATATTTCAGTCAGCGTTTTTTTCTATTTAAGTACATAGAATAATGTTATAATTTGTTTACTTCAAATGTAAAGTAGAAAGAGAAGTTTTAACTTATAAAGTTAAGTCTAACTGTGAGTTTCTAAGACTACAATTATCAGTTTAATTTGTTTTACGATATATTTATTAAGGTCTTAAAAAAACTAAAGGAACGTTTATCAAAATTATTAACATATTTCTAGACATTTGCGTCCCGGAGGCCTAATTTAGTCCTCTTTCGCTTCCCACCCTTTTCTTTTAAGGAAAGGATGGGAAGTGGAAGTGGACTTTCCGGATGAGAGGATGCATGGAAAGGGAAAATATTTTATTTCTGTGCATCCTCTCCTCTGTCGATTAAAGGTAGACAACGCATATGCAATTGCGTATGTCTATGGGCAACGGTCACTTCGCTATTACAGCGATTTCAGATGGCCGCTCGCTCGTTTGCCACGTATCATAAAATAAATATTTTAGTTGTTTTTTTTTGATTCCAGGTTCCGGGCATGTCTAAAACTCGCCGATACATCGGTATCCAATATGGTTGGCAAATTATTTTTCAATGTGGTACAAACGAAATGTTTCATTCTGAAACCTGTTAAAATGTGCATCCAAAGATCCTGGTGGGGCAAATGTTTGAGAAAAGGTTACCAAAAGCAAGCATTCTTAAGAGATAATTTACCATATTGAATAGTCCAACTGATATTGAGAGGGGCGCCACTATCGCTGGGAATCGAACAATCTTTCTGTTAGAAAACAATAAAGCGTCAATAGCCTAATGGTTAAGGATACGGATTCCCGATCACGAGGTCGGGGGTTCGGTTCCCTCCATTCGACTATTGTCGTAAACCATATCCTAGCACAAGTCTAGAGCTTAGTTGGAATGATTAAAGAAATATTAGTAAATTTACAAAAAAAAAATTTTAAAAAAATTTAAAAAAAATATGTTAAACCTATTTACTGTGGGTTTCTGATATCAAAATCTCCGTTTAAAACATATCCTGTTTTGTCAAAGATATGTTTTATACAGAGATTTTGATTTCAGAAATCAGCTGTTAGACGTAGAAATTTACAGAATGACAGTACTAAGAGGATATTGTCTTTGAAATTGTAAAGCTCTAATGGAGCTATTTTAATATAATTTTATTTTACAACGGGATAGATTTTCTCAGTCTATACATAGCCGCAATACGCCATGTCTATGGTATTTGAGTGTTGCTATAAGAAAAACAGTAATGCAGTTTTTCGGGTAATTTTGTGTAAATGTGAGTGTGTGTCTCGGAGCCTACCCTAAGTTAGGTGATTAGGCCATAGTCAACCACAGGCCAAGTGCAGTGACTTCACACATATCTTTAAATTTCTAAATATGTGCATCACGATGTTTACCTTCACCGTAACATCGGATAAATGTACATATGTAAATCGGAAATGGAAAAACACATTGGTACATGGCGGGATTCGAACCCAGGACCTGCAGATTGCAAGTCAAGTGCATGACCACTGAGCTACCGACGCTCTCTATTATTAGCATATATATTTATATAAATATTAAATTAATTTTATTTAAACTGCAATTTATTTTTATATAATTTTAAACGAATTTTCTCTATGTTATGTTTTAAATGCAAAATGTCAGTATGTAAATAATGTATTACATAGAAAATTAATATTATTTATCTTATTTACTATAAATATAAAAAAATAGTGTTACTATTAAGTAAAATAATTTAATAATAATTTCACACATTTATTCACATCAAATATGTGGTCTTTGAAGATAACCTAAAGACTATTCCATACAAGTTTAAAGTTGAAACGACAGTATTTGCTACACTTTGTTTTTGCACAATGGTTTTTTTCTTGTAATCAATGAAAAATCACGGTTATTAAGAAAAATGTAAGAATAGAGTTACGTAGTTTAACTTCTGGGTAAGTTTCTGATAGTGAAAAAAATATTCCGAATAATAACTGTCGGTTTCTGACAAATCTCTGTATTAAACATATCGACATCTTTGAAAAAAACAGATTATCTGTTTTCAATAGGGATTTTAGTCTTAGAAACTCACATTTACAGTCCTTACCTGTGTTAGTTCATACAGAAATAGGAAATGACATAAAATATATGACAAGAGAATCATATTTTGACACCTTTATGACATTTACATGATGGCGCTACTGAGCTATCATAATTTTAGTTTGATACCCACCGCGTCAAATAAGTTTATCGGTCTGACACTAGACAAGACATGACAAGACTATTCACTATCCAGCGAGGTTAGGCAAGTGCATTCGCTACAAAGCGATTCTATAACCAACTTCAAAAATGTATGGAACTGACGACAATCACGTGACTTATTCGTATTTAATTCGATATGGAATCGCTTCTTAATATTTTCGTACTAAAATAAAAAATATTTATAGCATAATCAATAATACAAAAATCCTGGCATGAGGGCGCTGCAATCACTTTCTAATGTTTATTTAGTTTCATCATCATCAGCTCACAATACGTCCCCACTGAGGGGCTTGGAGCCTACATAGTCAACCACATGCCAAGTGCAGTGACTTCACACATATCTTTAAATTTCTTCTCAGATATGTGCAGCATCACGATGTTTTCCTTCACCGTAACATCAGATAGATGTATATATGTAAATCGGAAATGGAAAAACACATTGGTACATGGCGGGATTCGAACCCAGGACCTGCAGATTGCAAGTCAAGTGCTTGACTCCTGAGCCACCGACGCTCCTAAATTAGTTTCATATTTCTCTGTTTGGCGCGGGTTTTTGTATTTTGGTTAAGCTTAGTTTATTAAATAAAAAAAAATTGTCTATGGCATAATGTATTTAGTCTGTAACTCGAAGTTCCTGTTTTTGACAATATTTTTAGGTTATTTATGTCTATTTAAAAATGTTTATAAATATGTACTTATTAGATTTAAATAATTGTAAAAGATATTATTGTAAATTATCTTTCGTAATAATTTAAATGAATAGATTTAAAATTTGAACTGATATATAAACACGGCTAAACACTCACGTATATACGTCCGGTGGCGGCACCGTATAGTTTCGAGCCCATCGGGGGCCCTTCATCAGGATGAGTGGTACGTTTTGTGCAACATCAACATCGTCGACGACGCCGGCGCACGCCGCGCCCCCCGACCCATCAAGACGCGCCCTAAGAGCGCAGGCGCGCAGTGAGCTGAGGGCCGCGTCCGCGAAATAATACCAGTACCACTCATCCTGATGAAGGGCCCCCGATGGGCTCGAAACTAATCGGTGCCGCCACCGGACTATACGTGAGGGTTTAGCCGTGTTTATATATCAGTTTAGTATAATGTCTCACGAAAGTTTAAATAATTTAATAGATTTAAAATTTATTAACATACAGTTTTTTTTTATAAATTGTCATCTCAATTTATGCATTTTTGACACATTATTGTCCAAAAGAAAAAATTAAATGACACAATTTAAAAAGAAAAAATTTTGAGGTTAATTCTTCAATGTTTTGTTTTGAAATTTAATTTTCTTGTACAGTATTTTAATTCGTACAAATCTTTTTTAGATGATAAAAATAGATTTATAAAATTGTAATTAATATTTAAAAGCAATAGAATTGGTTGTGTTTTGTGATAAAATATTTATATATTTTAAACTATTAACAAAAATTTCCCGCTAAATATTTAAGAACGAAGAGGGCGTACATAAATTACGTGAGGTGTTCAGGGGGGGGGGGGGTCGAGTCAAATATCACGCTATTTTTTTTGGTTGAAACGAAAAAAAAAGGAAAAGCATTTTTTTTTCTTTTTACAATAACAATCCAACGCGTTTACGTAAGAAACTCACATTTTGAAAAATCTCACACGTGATTGGGGGATGGAGGGTTTGAATAAAATCTCACGACATCCCACCAGGGGGGGAGTCGCAGAAAATTAAAAAAAACCACCTCACGTAATTTATATACGCCCCCAAAGTAATATCAAAAAAAACTTTTTCGATTTTCTAATCTGTAGATTTTCAAATCTTTAAACTGTAATATAGATTTTAAAAGTAGTATACTAAATTGATATCAAATTACTAGTTCATCTAGGCTTTCTGAGACTAAAATATCAGTTAAAATTATTGTTAACTCTGTTTTTGTCAAACAGGGATGACAATATGTTTTAGAGAATTTGGTCTCAGAAACCAACGATAAATCTCTTTAACTATTAGATATTTATGTGAATAGACTTATGTAAAAGTTGTTAAATAAATTTCGCTTCATTACAATGTCTACGAATGAAATAAAAAATTTAATAATAAAGTCTTCCTCGCCTTTGACATGAAACAATAATTTCTACTAATGCCATCTAGTGTTGGTTTGTATAATGTTTTTTACTAAACATTTGTACCAAAAGATGGCGCTGTATTAAAAAGGGATTAAACAATTCATTTATTTAAACAAATAAAATTACTACATAACTTACTAAGATTATAATAAAACAGCAAGAACTTTGATCATATTTATTTATACATTCTGAACCCTTGTAAAAATTTATTAAAATACCTATACCTCATAGTTAAAATTCAAACTATCAAAGTTTTGCTTTGATTCTTACAATTTCATCTAAAAATTCCACAATATATTTTGCCAATCTTTCAGGATTAGTAAAATGGACGTCATGTCCGCCATCTACAGCCACAACTTTGAAATAATTCGTATTCTTAGTAAGATCTGATATTAATTGTTTCACTAAATCTTTAGCTTGAGTATATCCTCCGTCAGACTGGTTTGCAGAAATAAAAAGTGTCGGGGGACAATTTTGCGAGAAAAGGCTATAATAATAATCTATAGAACTGAATGTAGGAGCCAAAATCTTCTCTCTTTTATCCCAAGAAAGCCTGTAAATTAATAAACGCATTAAGTAATAAAGTCTTGTAAAAATGTCGAGACCAAAAGTTTAAAAATTGCTGGACAGCGCCATCTATCACCGAGGAGAATCACTAATCTAAATAACGCCATCTAGTAGCAAATGGCAAAAACGTTTCAGTGATGACATCTATATTTAAAAAAGTAAACTACATTTTCTGTTCCAATTAGAATTACAATTGTTAATTAAAAGCCTTTTTAAAGTGATTGCTTTGTTTAAAATTAGAATATTTTTCTTACTTGTATTTATCATCTCCTATTTTCTTTAAATTTCTCGATAAAATCAACTCGGCCTGTTGTTTTGTCATATTTCTTGCTTTCATCACTGCTTTTGTCGCTGATTCTTTACTGAATACACGATTGTCATTATTAATACTGAAAAATAACTATATTTATTAATAAAAAATAAAAAAAATACTCCAAACAGTAAAAAAATCAAATGGAACAATGAAACAGGACAAACATTACTGTACTGATTACATTGCCTAGACCTGTTTTGTCAGAAAAAATATAAAACTTAGTTGCACATAGAAAATAACATCCAATACAAGATCTTGTGAGGAGGGACAAAATTCTAACTTAAATCTTACTAATATTATAAATGCGAATATTTAGATGTATGTTTGTTTGAAGTTATCTCCAAAACGGTTGAACGGATCTTGTCAAAATTTGACATAGATGTAGAACATAGTCTGAAAGAACACATAAGTTACTAATTCAGTATTTTTTCAAGCAGACGAAGTCGCAGACAACAGCTAGTAGGTAAAATTTCTATGGTTTTAATTATTTATGTATTAGAGTAGACAATATCTACAGACTCTTCAACTTCTTTTTTTCTTATCATAAATTATAATAAATTTTGTATTTTTTATCTTTTAATTTTTTCCTATATCGAGTTTAAGCTATTGTTATGCAGGAATTAAAATTTTTCACATGCATAATACACCATCATCAGCTCACTATACGTCCCCACCGAGGGGCTCGGAGTCTACCCTAAGTGAAGGGTGATTAGGACATAGTCAACCACGCTGACCAAGTGCGGGTTGACTTCACACATATCTTTGAATTTCTTCTCAGATATGTGCAGCATCACGATGTTTTCCTTCACCGTAACATCAGATAAATGTACATATGTAAATCGGAAATGGAAAAACACATACCTTTCATAATTATCATAATAATATTCATAATGTGATTTAAAATGTAAAGAAAAATCGTTTATCAACAATCTACGTAGAGCTGGACCTCCGTCTAAATATATACATCTTTTAACTCTTCTGGGGAAGACAGCATTGTAGAACAAACCTAAAATACATGAAAAAAATAATTATTAATAACAAAAACAATAAAAAACACCTTATGATTATATAGGAAATTTCTAGAAATCACTAAAATAACTAAAAAATAAGGCTTAGTGATAGAAAGGTGAAATTAGGGTTGTATGAATTTTTAATGCAAAAAATTGATCAAAAATAAAAAAAGGTTAGGGTAGACAACCCTTATCACTTAGGGGTATAAAACATAGAGAGTTGCCTATGCTCAGAGCGACTGAACATAAATACAAAATTTAATAAAAACCCGTCAAGCCGTGTTACAGGAATATGGTAGTTAACATTTAGACATGAGAATTTTGTCACATACCGTGATAAAACCCAACTGAGGGTCTCGGAGCCTACCTAAAGTTAACTAGGTCATAGTGAGCATGTGACTTTACATATATTTTTGACATTTCTTCACTGATATGTACATCACAATGTTTTCTTTCACCGTAAGTTATACATACCTATTTCTGTTCCCATCGAATGACCAATATAAATAAATTTCTCCCATTTCAAATGTTCCACCACCAATTGTACAACAGATACTGGAAATATTCTTGTCAACATCACACCTAAAAATACAGAAAATAGATATACTCTACACTTGTAATATTCAAACCTGAATAAGCAAGAATCTCTCTTTCTCTTTAACACAAAAATCTTGTTCACTACATCCCTACTGAAGGTCTCGGAGCCTACCCTAAGTTAACTAGCTCATAGTCAATACTGGCCCAGTGTCTTCACACATATCTTTCATATTTCTTTTCAGATACTTACTAGATAGACTTGATAGATAGCTTACTATACTTCCCCTTATATCATTCTTTCCCAAAGTGGGCGATAACATCCTCTTGTGGGCGCTGCAGGTGTCAAGTTGCGGGTTATAGTAAAAGTTTCGTTTACAATTCTCCGTTAATATACATATATAGGTCACAATAATTAATTAATTTAATTTGAAGTTATAGTGGTTTTTAAATATGTGAAAATATGGGGGGCGCTAAAGAAATATTTATTCTCAAAGTGGGCAGCAGACAAAATAAGTTTGGGAACCACTGTCTTATGTATATAAATCACATAAAATAATCTAAATTTATCCTCTTATTATATCTATATAAAAATAATCCCATTAAGAACTATGTTTGTCATAAACAATGTGTGTTTGCTAGTTTTTTTATAAAATTAACTGTTGTTTTTTTTAAGCAAGGAACTCTTTTATGACCAATATGCTCTCTTCTCCCCTGGCATGGTAGCCAAAGCCTTATCCTAATTTTCCTATCTTACTAAACATATAAGTTTTACTCTTATACATTAAAAACTTGAAATTAAAATATATCTTAGTAATATTATAAATGCAAATGTTTAGATGGATGTTTGTTTTAAGGTATCTCCTGAACTGCTGCATGGATTTCGATGAAATTTGACATAGAAGTAGAACATAGTTTAACTAAGTTTATTCTTAATTCCGTGTTCGACACTTTAAAATAAAAGTACCTTTAGGTAATGGATCAGATAGTCCAGTCCCAGGCATATCAACTCCAACATAATGATATTTATCTGGAAGTAATTCCAACAGAGGAATAAATGTTGCTGCACTGTCCTGTCTTCCGTGTACCAACAAAACTGACTCTCCTTTTGGATCACCCCATGATATTACTGCAAAATACGTAAATTGGCCTTAATACTTCACTTATTATGTTCATTAACATAATTAATTAATTTTATACTTACATGCAACTTTACCCCATGGAACGTTTAAAAACCATTCTTTGATTTTCTTCATTTGTTTTACAAGAATAAAAAATCTTTTATCTAAATAAACACAACAACAAAATTGTTATCTGCAACTAAAGTGCAATACACTCTTCTATAACTTTAAGATATGATTTAAAACAAACAATTTGAGCTTATTCTAGTTTATTTTAATATTTTTTAAGATCCTATTTTCACTTTACTAAAACTTAAGTAACTACAACTTTAGACACGTTTTAACTTTTGGAAATGATTAATTCAATTCAAGAATTAAATGCCGTCTACGTATAAAGTAAAAAAAAAAAACACAAACTTAAAACAAAAATTCAGATTAAAAACAGATAAGACAGGTCTAAAATCGATTCAAAAACAAGATATATAACAAAAACATCATAAAATCGTAACAAGATATTGTCATAATGACATTACGATTAGGGATGTGCGATTGATCGTAAACACAAATAGACATATCGATATTTTTTATTGTGCTTATGAAAGACGTAAAAATACTCTTCAGTGGATCTAGCACAAATATGTATAGTCTAGCATAATTATGACAATCGCCATTGTATCGTTATCGACAACATTTGTATTTAAATTTGTGCAGTGAATTATAACAAAATAAACAGAAAGGCACACGATTTAGGAGGCCTTTAACCAAAAAGGATCGGTTTTGGAAATATGGAATAACAATACTAACAAAATTCTATGTCAATATGGAAATAAAAAAGGTTTATTATTGTTATTATAAAGTACATAAGGAATCTTATACCAATTTTGATATAATTGGAAACGAAGATAGGATGACTTTGTCACAAATGTTCGTCATGACCCTCATTTGCTTGTTTTCTCTTTCAATCTTTTGGCACTACATTGCTAAGATGAGATGCTATGGAATTTGTGAAGTAATTCTGATGAACTGGATGTTTACATTTTAATATTGCAAAAAACGTAAGTAATTAGAAGTGTTGCGAATAATCAATGTTTCATGATCACACAATTATGATTTAATATCGATGGGTATACACAGAAGTGATTATCGATTTTATCACTTCGTCTTCTATTTTTTCTGTACATTTTTTGTTCCTCTAGTTTTTCATATACTTCTGTTAAGTACATTTTTATTTAAGTGTGTAAATCTTACTAATATTAAAATGCGAAAGTTTAGTTTATTAGAAGGTATGTCCAGAACGGCTGTATGGATATCACTGAAATTTTGCATACATACAGAACATAGTCTGGAAGAACACATAGTTAATAAAGTTTCTTTTAATTCCGAGCGGGCAGAGTAGCGGCAGCTAGTCAATAAACGATTCTTGACTATATAGTTGTATCTTATACTAGTTGTAGTTAATTCGACGTTTCTTACTTCATAATATAAGAAATACTGGATCCTTGAGAAAGAAAAGGAAGAAGGAATCGGGAAATAAAATTACTTAAATAATTAACGAACGAGACACTGTGACTTTTGTCCACGTACCTAACCTATAAAGTTGAAATCTTTTAATACGTAGAAAAAACAATAAATAAATGAATGTGTAAGGAATTTAAGATAATTAAGTAATAAAAACGAAATGTCTTTAAAGGTCAAGTGACACTTCCGTCTTTATATAAAAAAAAAACAATACTGTCTCCTTTTCCTTGTCTTTTACATATTTAATTTTAAGGTAATAATTTTAAAGTTTTTGTGCTCAATGTCTTTTGCTTTTAAATATAGTATTACATTTGTTTAAGCTTACGAACTAACCTTTAGTTATTAAGATCAAAATCTCCGTATAAACATATCGTCATTCCTGTCATCATCTTTGACAAAACAGATATAATCTTATATCTTTAAATGAGCAATTCTTGTATATATATGTAATTGGAATCTCGGAATCGTCTCCAACGATTTTCATAAATTTTAGTATATAGGGGGTTTCGGGGGCGATAAATCGATCTAGCTAGGAATCATTTTTAGAAAATGTCATTTTATTCGTGTTTTATCGATAATCAACTTAAACATAAACTTAACTTTTTCTATCGGTAAGATCGAAAATATTATTCATATTTCATCATTTTATTAGTAATTCGTACTTAAATATAATTTCCAAAAAACACAAATACCGAGCAAAGCTCGGTCATCCAGATCTTATAGTTTAAACGAAGATTTTTTTTATAAGAGAAGGGGGCAAACGAGGGGCGGGAACACCGAGGTGATCAACGACACCCATGGACATCTGCAACACCAGAAGAACTGCAGATGTGTTGCCGGCCTTTAAGGAAATGGAATCGGTTTTTGTTGGGTTTCGGTTTCGGAAATTCACGGTAAGTCTTAAATTAAGGTCAAACAAGTGCATTTTAAAGATAACGAACCATTCTTGTTAAATAAAACCATTTAAAATCAAAAACAAACAACTAATGTAAAGTTTAATATATTTACAAATTACCACCCTTAATCATAATTCTATCGAAATTCACACCAGTACTTTTCCCAAACGTACTTCCTGCTAGGCCCAATGATATGTTTGTCTCATTAAATATGACACAATCTGTCATAGAATCTAGGAATTGCTATCTCCATTAAATTTAAAATATTCCACTAGAACACAATATTGTAACAATGTCTAACCGTTGGTTTCTGAGACCAAAAACATATGTATAAAACATATCGTCATCCTTGTTTATCTTTAATACAACAGAGATATGTTTTATAAGATTATTTTCGGCCTCAGAAACCCACGTTAAGTGTACAATCATAGCTTACATTTGATATAATTATTTAATAGACTATAAATAACATAATCAAATTCAATCAAATCATTTTTATCTTTTAAGTTTGTTATTTTACTTGCATCAGTTCTATATTTTAGTATTTCTTTTAATATAATACCATTGACAATGATATTATTTAAAATAAGGTCTATTACATTCGTAGTAATGTTATCGCTTCCCTTAACTTCAGAACGTCTAGAGGTAGAAAGTTCGTTTCTGAAAAAAATTAAAAATATTAAAAAAAAACAAAAAAAAACTTACAATCCCAATGATTCAGTTAAAATATATTCAGTCGTTTAGTCTACAAAGAGTTTATTTGAAATATTCGCGACTAGCTGTCGTCTGCGACTTCGTCCGCAAGGACTTGAAAGAACTTAATTAGTATGTGTTCTTCCAGACTATATTCGAAATGTGGCAAATTTCATCTAGATCTATGCAGCCGTTCAAGAGCTAACTCCATCCATCTATCCAAACATTCGCATTTATAATATACTAAGATGCGCTTTCGTAATATCATCGATGAAAGAGTCTAACGAATAGTCTTAAAACTATGATATAAAATAAAATATTAAAAAAAACGAATAATTTACTAAAATATGTTATTAAAAGGAGTCCCTTTAGGCAAGGTCTCGAAGATACTGGCAGCGTTCCACCTTTGGACAGCTAAACTAATTGTTTGACCAAGGTAGCTGCCAGCTCTTCGGTCCCCTGAGATGTCGATCGATTAAATTTGTCAATTATATATGAAAATTGTATTTATGTCTGACGCTGTATGCAAATTTTCATGCTAAGCTCTCAGGTACTAATGACATATACGTACAAAGCCGCATACATAAAAGAAATCCTGTTAGTCGGAGTAGAAATGGTGATATACCTTAGTTGAATGTGTTTTTTTAATCTACATATCCAATGATCGAAATCTGTGAACATCAGTTGGAGGCTACCAAGATTATTTGTGTCGTGCCAGTCTTGTTCTGTAAAAAAAAACAAATACTTATTATCATAGTAATATACAAAGGTTTTATTCTTATTAAACTCTATAAAATGTAAGATTTAACCTATTTAATATGTTCTAATGTTAAATTATAAACATCAATCAAAGACCAGACAACAATGTAATATTCGATGTTTAAAAAAATCCTCGCTTAATGTGAAGGAAAAATATAACCTCAAAACTTATTATTTCACGAAACAATTTATAATCGAATGCATAATCAGAATTAATTATTTAAATATGATTAACCTCTTTGCATGCGTATTACGAAACTGATTACTTATAATATTGTGTTGAAAGATTTTATCGTTTTATGTTATATGGCATTTTATTATCTGTAAAAATTATATAATAATAAAATGCAAGATGATTACAGCACTACGATAATAAATTTGAACGTCGATAGATTTTTAATTGATAGGTCTGACGTTACGTTGAAGCAAAACATTGTGATACAGCAAATATTGGTGAAGAAATTCAAAAATATATGTGAAATCAAGCAATGTGGGCAGTTGGCCAGTGGGTTTGACTGAGACACACTTAGGGTAGACTTGAAGCTCTGAGATTGTTTGGTTGTTAGCCAAATGTTTTTGAATAAATGTCAATTGAACTTCTGAACCAAATCATGATCTTTGTTTTCGTAATAAAAGCTTTATTATTTGGCTTGTCTTCAACTAAACTTACGTGTTTATCTCATAATATATAGACCTATATTTAGTAGGATTTAAACAGCTCTTTTCTTATTAAAACACTTATTATAGAAGTAGGTTTTTGTTACAAATGACGCTAAAAGAAAAAGTAATAGTAACGCTAAAAACGTTTAGTTACTAAAACTGTTGATCAAACATTAATTTAACTATATAAAATAAAATATAACAGTCATAAAGTTTTGGTATGGTATAATAGATTATTTAAATATAAATTCGTAAGATAAAAACCTTTTTTTATAAGTCTTATAACTCCAAAAACAAGCTGAAATTCCACACATTAAATTATTAAGTACATTTTTTCTTGTGGAATTTGACCTTAATCATTATATCAAACAGGAAATATCTCACAGAAATAAATAACAAACACATAATCGAATAATCAAAATAATTTTAACATAAAAACCTTACCTTTTATTTTATTCATCTTCAAATAAACACTGCACTTTAACTACTCAGTTATTTATTTATAAATATATTAAGATAATATCATTACGATGTTATTGTGTCGATTTGTATACAAACACTGAGCTCAGCGCGATAGCGTGGCGCCGACTACTGATTACTAGTGATGTGCTAACATCGATAGTTATCGATATTATAAAACAAATAAATAAATAAAATAACATTTAATCCTTTCAATATTACAACAAACTTAGGATAAACATCACAAAATAATTATAAAGAAATAACACATAAAAACATAATATTAATAAGAAAAGGAAATATTTATAAAGAGTGTTGCAATGCTGACCGAATAAGGTTACAGTACATTTTATTTTAATAAATACCTGCCATAGAAGATAGCTTTTAAATGATTGGTTCAAGCAAAGCACACCATCATTATCCCGCGCAGTAATTTGAAAATCACAAAAAGCCAAATTAGTTGCTTTTTAACTGATTTTAAAAAGAAGGAGGAGATCTATTCGGCTGTTTATCACAATCACACTTAGTATTTGAAGATGAATACGGCTTTAACATCTAGACAAAAATAAAGTAATTTCATTGTTAATCTTATCTATCGAATGTTTATTTATCGATATTTGATACGCTCTTCACTAGATTTCCACATTTACTACCGCGTAGCTATTTTATAACCGGTTTTCATTTCACTTTTACCTATCTCAGTAATCGGGACACAGTTAGGTAATAATGACTTCTATAAATGCACACGTAGACTTATGTTTAGTAATAGATTACTTAACATATTAACATAAATGACCCTAAAGAGAGAAAGACCAAAGAAAGTATGGATGGATTACGTGAAAGAGGTTATGCGTAAGAAGGGGGTAGATTTAGATATGACGGCTGGAAAAGATGTATGGAAGGCTGACGATAATGACCCGTAATCTGACACTGTCTGGCACAGAAGATCTAAAGTAATATACGAGCTCTTTCACGCAACTTCAAGTAAAATTTAAAAAAAATGTAGAGACTATCGGAACAGACATACATAGCAGTGTGTTGCAAATCTTATACACATCAATTTAGTCGTTCTGGATTTCTGTGAGATATCGTAAGAAGATACAAGACATATGAAATTTTTTAATAATAATAAATTTTTTATTTCAGATACATGTTCGATAAAAAAATAATTTACAAATAAAATATATCTGTACCACTTGTAATGCTGAATGATTTATGTTCGTAAAATTTATCGATATTTTGTATAGATGTAACATCACTAATGTTTATGCTCCTTCAAAATAACAAGCAAACGCAGTCAATGACCCAGTAGCGATATTACATTGTGATGTGATAACTCGTATCTTTCAACTAGAATTTGTTTAAAGGATATTTTTGAGTAGATAAGTACATTTTTATTAATACAACAACAAAAAATTACTTACCAGGTGATTGTATGAAAAATTTGCTTTAGCGATTGCGCGCGGAATTAAAAAAAAAACTTAATTAGTAGTCTATGTATTCTTATAGACTATATTGTGTCTATTTAAGAAATATTAATTTGACAATTCAGTAGATATTGGTAGATTTTCGATGACTGTTCTCATTGTTTTTGATTTACAAAATAAATGAAATTGTTTCCTTTAAACTACGTAGAAATATAAAATCTTAAATCGAAAATTGACATTTAGAGAAACAAAAAGAATGTCTGATGTTAGAATTGCGCTTGACATTAACTAAATCTGTAATAAATTCAAAAAGTTAATAAAATACGTAAGTTATAGTATTTATTTGTTCATTTAATATCACAAGACCGATTTTCGATAGTTCAAAGTTGTTCGTAATGCGCGTACAGTCAGACATTATGGCAACCGTCCAAGACAACATTAATCGTCATACAAAATGAATTCAATATTTTATAAGCGTGTCAAACTAATCTATCTTAAATAGACACAACATTAAATATATGTTTTATCATCATCATCAGCTCACTATACGTCCCCACTGAGGGGCTCGGAGCCTATCCTAAGTTAAGGGTGATTAGGCCATAGTCAACCACATGCCAAGTGCGGGTTGGTTGACTTCACACATGTTTTATGCCTATGTCTAATTACAGCAAGATACGTTGAGCCATTCCGGAGAATTCTTCATCCATCTAAACATTCGCATATATAATATTAGTAAGATTATTAACTATTTAAAAAATTAAACTGAAAGAAGTGTGTTCACAAATACCTTAGTAATATAATAAAATGCTTATTAATAATAATTACTTTATTATGCATTAGTATCTAACTCCTATATTCTATAGTTACTTAAATAATAAACATTTAATACGTATACGAAAACGACTAGACTGCCGCCATGTTGTAAACAAGGCGCGGGAAAAATGTAAATTATAATTTATTTACAACTATTATTAAAATTTAAATACAAAAGAGTCAAATTGGCGCAAGGATTATATTTAAAATAAAAACTAGTGATCGCCATTTTTGTTTTAATATTACGATTCTTTACTAATTAGAGGTGACATTTACAAGGTCGTCAAATTGACATTTATAGACATTTTTTTTTAAATCTTTTACTTGACAGAAAGGAGGATGTATTTAATTCGTTTCTATATTTTTGTTTCTATTTTGTAGTTCACGTTCTCCATACTAGAAATAATTATCAGATTTACGAATAATAAATAAATAAACTATAATATCAAAACTATTGAAATCACGAAAATTGTTGAAGTCAATGTTGAAAAAAAAAACACTTTTAAAATCAATTAAATCGATTCGTTATCCTTATCATGTTTGTTAATATCTTCACAATAATTAATAATTTAAATTAAAAACCACTATTGTTCGTAAATATTCACTGTCGGCCATGTTTACGCGGAAAGTCAGTCGTCGTCGCGTTCGTCCGGCCTGTGTCGTTGCAGCACGGCAAGACGTTGTTGTGTTACTTCTAGATGATGTTTCCGCCATTTTATACGTCTGTTTTGGAACCACACTTTGACCTGGGAGTTTAGTTTTGAGGTTAGTTATTTTAATTTAGATTACGATGCAAAAGGTTAATAGGTTATGTGAGAAGCTTTTAATATTTAGGTTATTTTTTGTCTGTCTTTATCTTTAACAGTGGTAGAGCCCGCTTTAACATCTTCGCACGTATTGTCCCGGCTCACCCGGTGAAATACCACGATCACACTGAAGACAGGCGTCAAGTGGAAGCGATTCCGCGTTTCGTCTAATGAGTGTGCGTTCCGGAGGCCTAATTTAGTCTTCTTTCCCTTCCCATCCTTTTTCTTATAAGGAAAGTATGGCAAGTGGAAGTGGACTTTCCGGATGAGAGGATGCATGGGAAGGGAAGATCTTGTCTTTCTGTGCATCTCCTCCGTCGATTAAAGGTAAGTAACGCATATGCAATTGCGTATGTCTATGGGCAACGATCGCTCGCTCGTTTGCCACCGTATGTTTTACATTTGTTTTATAATTAAAGCGTTCTTTAGTGTAGTCTTAATACGTGAAACATTCACTTAGGGACTGAAAGCATAACATAAATTTAATTTAAAATCTTATCGAGATTAAGCACCAAATATTTAGCATAAATTTGTTGACTATGTTATATGAAAAGGAATTGTTTTTTAGAGATAATTTCTAAGATCAAGTAAATTCTATATGGGACTGGCTATAAGACCTAGTATTGTGTGCCTATTTGATTTGGTTAGACAAAGTGCATTCGCTCCGAAGGAATTGTCTATACTATGTCCCGACAATCACGTGACTTATCCAAAGTTGTCAGAATCGGTTCGGAGCGAATGCGTTTTGTCGAACCCAGCAGTAGTTGAATTCAATATTAAGTTACCTGTGCTTCTGTGAGTTGCAACGCGTGTGCAAGATACAATCTCTCAGGTCCAACCATGTATTGTTGTCGTTCAAACTCCGCCTCCAATCTCTCCAGCTGTTCCGGTGTGAAGATCGTTCTTATCCTTTTATTTCTTCCATTCCTAATTTTAGAGATTATTAATTAGAATCCTTTGGCCCGAATGGCGCGCTTTCGTTACAAAATCAAGTGTCAGAATTATTAGTGAGGGGACATAAACGTCGACATTATAGTAAGGCTAGTGTTGCGATACACCGGCACAGTGTCTTATTAACACTAGTAAAATAAAATCTATTTCAAATTTTACTATAACAACGCTTGCTCCTTTGCCATAAAACAGTAGGTATTTAAGGCTCTGAGGCCTAACTAACTTAGGATCAATTCAATCTATTAAGAATCTAACAGTGGTAGAGCGAGCTTTAACATCTTCGCACGAATTGGCTCACCCGGTGCACACGACCACACAGAAGACAGGCGTGAAGTGGAAGCTATTCCAACTACAATCTGATGAGTGTGCGTCCTGGACACCTAATTTTGGTCCTCGTTCACCTTTTTACTTTTTTTCTTATAAGGAAGTGTAAGTGGATTTACCGCATGAGGAAATGCATGGTAAGGGAAAATTTTGTCTTTCTGTGCATCTCCTCCTCCGTCGATTAAAGGTAGGCAACACTTGAATTGCATATGGGCGAATCTTCGCTATTTCATAGATTTCAGGTAACCGCTCGCTCGTTTGCCATCTTATCTTACATGTAAATTTCTCGTGTCACAATTTTCGTTCCCATACTCCTCCGAAACGGCTTGACCGATTCCCATGAAATTTTGTGAGCATATTGAGTAGGTCTGAGAATCGGTCAACATCTATTTTTTATCCCGCCCGGACGACAGCTAGTGATATATAAAAAAGCATCTGTATGAGATGACATACCCAGTGGAACAAGTGATGGCATGAGGTCGGGAACTCTTCACCTGGTTCACTTGTTGCCGCAGCTCAGGACGAGGACTGTCTGCGAATACATAAGTAATATAGAAGATAAGATGTCCGAGATTCCATCCACGCTATAAAACTTAACTAGTAGCCTATGTGTTCTTCCAGATTATGTTCTATATGTATGACAAATTTCATCAAGATCCATACAGTCGTTCTGGAGATATATTCAAAGAAACATACATATAAACATTCGTATTTATAATATTTAATTGCTTTGACTATTGTATTAACACGTTAGCTGCCAGTATGATTTTTCGAAAAACGAATTGTCCATTTCAATGGGGCCTTGCGGGTTACGCTGTATACAACAATTCGATTAAAAAGCCACAGCGAGGAATGGAAGTATGGCTTGTCGGACACATAGTCCGACACGGCCTGATTGAGACATTAGCTTGTCGGTCATATAGTCCGACATGGCAGCTAACGTGTTAAATATGTAAAAATTTGATTATTTACGTCGTCGTCGGTTTATCATTACTAATAACTTAGTAATTAAAATGAACTGTAAAGGAATTGATTTAAAAAAAATTTCGCCACCATAATTCACAAAGTCAGTAGGGTGGACAAAACTCAATAACATTCTGATGCCAGTAAAAAGACAAATTTACGATTTAATTAAATCTATCCACGATAGGGGGAGATAGGGAAAGAGATAGCAAATATAAAAAGAGATAGATATAGTCCCTTTTATTTTGGTTGACGACAGTAACATAGTAGTTACTAGCTATCGCCCGCGACTCTCCACGCGGAATCATAGTCTTCGAGACTCCAGACTTCGTTCTTCCAGACTATGTTCTACATCTATGTTAAATTTCAGCGAAGTCTATGCAGCCGTTCCGGAAATAACTTCAAACAAACATCCATCCATACCTCCAAACATTCGCATTATAATATTATATAGTAACCAATTTCTATACAAAGTTTTTCATTTATTTAACAACTAGCTGACGCCTGCGACTCTGTACGCGAGGATTTAAAAAATATATTATAATTAGTAGTATATGCGTTCTACTATCTTCTACATTTATAGCAAATTTTCAGCGAGATTCATGCAGCAGTTCTACAGATACCTTCTAACATACATCCTTCCATTAAATTATTCAAACTTTCGTACTAAAGTGATATTTAAACACGGCTAAACACGGCTCAGTGAGCTGAGGGCTGCGTCCGCGAAACAATACCAGTACCACTCATCCTGATGAAGGGCCCCCGATGGGCTCGAAACTAGTCGGTGCCGCCACCGGACGTATATACGTCAGTGTTTAGCCGTTTTTATATACATCCTTCCATATATCCAAACATTCGCATTTATAATATTAGTAAGATAAGAGATTGTGGTCGCCTTTGACTTCATCAGCGCAGAATTTAAAAAAAAATCCTAGTAAAAATGTCTTCAAAATCGGTCTACCCGTTTAGAAGATTACACGGAACAAACGCATTACGGACAGAAATACAGACACAAAAATTTTGTTCTATTACCAGCCATTTTTAAATGCATATATGTATTTATTAAGAAGTAAAAGAAAGAATTAATAAAATAATTTCACGGGAATATGTTTGTTTTTTTTTTTAAACTTACCTTGTGCCAACTGCGGTACCCCAACCATACTTCGACAAAATCCATCATTCAACCTTTGCATATCGCCGGCGTACAAATAATTCTGCAGTTGTCTTTGGTTTTGATGCAAACGTTCTTGTACACTTAAATTCATTGCATCCTCTTCAGCATTACTCAAACCTAAAATGGCGGCAATTGTAAATGATTTTCCCGCCAAATTGGTTCCCTTTCCCGACAAATCGACACCGTAAGCCGACTCGCTGTCTGCATCTTCGATCGACGGCGAAGATGATCCGTCGGCGTTATCAACATTGTCGGTATAATTTTCGGTATTATATTTAACTTCGCCGTCACCTAATGCCGTCAAACGTGTCTGGTGGTATAACAAGTCGGTAATATTTGTAGGATAAATTTGACGTTCCATTATTAATTACATCACTTGACACTTTCACTTTTAACACGATACATTTATAGGTTAATTTATTTATTTAACTTTAATTAATTAACTTATAATTACTAAGTTAATTTTGGTGTACGCGGGCGTTTGGTAGGATCGCTTTGTGGTTTATGGTAAATTTGAAAATTGATAGGGCGGAGCGTTGTTACTGATCGGTTCGTGGGGTAAAAAATGACATTAAGCCGTGGTCAATTGCTCGATATGCTTCATCCCTGGGTTGGGGGTTGGTTTGCTATTGGCCTGTGAGGGCGCATGCGCGTTGTAGGCGGGGCCAGATTTAGTAGGTGTGGTCCCCGCAGTGATTTGCGGTTGGTGGAAAGCCTTTGATTGAAGCAGGGTCGGATTTAAAACATTTTAAAAATCAACCTTCGTGTTATTTAGGAATTATATAGATGTGATATAGAATAGAAATACGTATAAAACTACGTATAATACTATTAAAACATGAAATAATATATTACAAACGAATATAGCGGAATAAATAAAAAAAAATATATGACACATTATATAAAATAATCAAAAATAAGTAATCTAGAAAGTTGTGTTTAATTACGTGTTATAAGTTAAATTTAAATACGTTTTAACCGTAAGAAACTTATAACATAAATCGCATATATTACATTGTGTACGGAATGAAATTTAAAAACAGTTGCAAATTACACTATCGATATACTAAAAAACAATCTAAATCTTCAAATTAAATATATAATCCATCCCTGGAGGTAGTAATATAAATTAACCGCTATAGATTCCGACATAATTCAATTAGCAGGCAATCCGCCCCTGCGCGCCCCTCCCTCGCCCCCGCGGGTGTATCAAACGGTTTAATATCATAATCTGCTCTCTTCC